ATAAAATTTTATTATTATAATATAATATAAAATTTAAAAAAATTTTGGAATATTTATTAAAAACTTTACTTTTTTATATAATCATTCATTCAATCAAATGTTTAAAAAATGTTTAAAAAATGTTTAAAAAATTTATCAGCAAAAAAATAAAAATCTCTTTAAAAAAATGAAATCTTGCTTAAACGATTCAGAACCACGGAATCAATTAATTTTATTTCCGATTAATTTCATTTTTTTTCTGATGAAAATGTTAATTTTTATATCGATAACAAAATAAGATTGAAAGTATGTTACAAACAAGAATCCGTTAGCTATTGTTCCTAATGATGAATAAAAGCATAAACATGTATAAAGTGTTCACAACGGTTAACAAATTCAAGTATTGTGTGAATATTAATTAAATGCAGATTGTTTCTGCATCTAATTGAACAAGTCAATTGTATCCAGAAACGGAAGAATTCAATAAGTAAGAATTTTGGAACACATTTCTTGATTGCATAAAAGTTTGAATATTGAATGAGAGTTTTTCACTGAATTTCTTACTGAATAAAAATAAAATGAGCGAAATCGATTTAAAAAGCGATTATTAATGTTTTCTGACAACAATATGCGTATATACCATATTCAATTTAATGTGATTAAATAATTTTTACATATTTTCTAAGAAAACCAAAAGAGATTTTAGAAAGAGGAAACAACGAATGTTATAATTAAAAAAAAAAAAAGAAAAAACAGTTTTCTATATGTCAAATAATCTGAAGAATAAAATCTTCAATAAAAAATAATAAGATATAAAGTATTTCTGGTTTTGAAATAACGAAATTTAGATTACAGAATACCGTAAAAAAACAATTTCGTATCATTGATGTTATATATATCATGAAATTATATATAGAAATAATTAGAAAACTATATTTATAATTATTTAACTTTTTATTTTAAATATTTCTTTTTTTAAAGTATTTAACTGAAATGCTCTATATAATGAACCGGAAATGCTCTATATAATGAACTATTGATGATATTTTTGAATTAAAGTTTTCAAACACCATATGTTCAATATTTTATCATAAAAAAGATTTAAACACAAACATTTGATGATCATTTTCGTTATGGAAAAGAAACTGAATTTAAATTCTCTGTCAAAAAATTAAACATAATTTTATTTGAACAACAACAATTTTAAAACATAAGGAAAAAATGAATATTATATTTTTATTAACAATTTATCATAGCTTATTCTTTTTAAAAAAATGTAGTTTAGATCGTTACATATCGTGCGTGCTTATTGGTCATTTCAAAATTGAGAAAATCGTCAAATTAAAATATAGAAGCATAAGATGTTTAAAAATCAAATTTTAAAGAATTTATTAGATAATTAAATTATTAAATCTTGTATCAATATGTATCAATTTTATGTTGAAATGAGTATAATCATAATATACAGAATATTTCAAAATATAAATAAAAAATGAATTTTTTTAAAACTATCTTTAAACTTTCAAATTTTTAATCCATTTTTTATTTTTAAAAAATTTGATTTTTGAAATATATTTTGAAACACATTGTATAAATCAATGTAATTGTAGTCAATTCATAAATATTAGAGATAATATAAATCGTAATTAACTTTATGGGATTTATTTTGTTGATCTGTAAAATTTTTCAATCGTATCAAAATTTATAGGATACAATGCTTTCAACGTGTAAGTAGACTCATTTGCTTCTTCATATACAACTTTATCCAAAACGAAAAATCCAATAATTGATTAGCAGTTATTAATTAAACCAGCGATTTAATTTAAATCGAATTAAAGAAAATACATATATATTTGTCATTAACTATCAATGATTAATTTAATTTAAGTTTCTATACAATTTTATTTAGGATAAACAATAATATATATATATCTAGCTTTTTTGATCTCTATTCATTAATTCATTTATTTGCAACGAAAATATTTGAAAAGAATGTTTATTAATAAATGTAATTTATTTTTTAATTATTAATTCTAAGAAATTTGTTAGGTGATTAAAATTTAGTCATGATAGCATAAGCACGAATAATGAATCAAAATTTGTTATAGTAGTGACATCTAGTGTATACAAAATATTCGGTTATAGTTCATAAAATGTACAATTGATAGTTAATCTTAAAAACAGTTTTTTTATAACAAAAATGTACAATTAAAGATTAGATTAAAATGAAATCGATTAGCGATTGATTTCATACCGCCAAAAAATTTAAAATAGTTAAAATTTAAAAATAGTTGAAATTATTTAGATTATTCAATTAGAAATTTATAATTGACAAAATATATATATGATAAATTCTTGTTTATATTATTTATAATTTTTCAAACTTTCGTTTCTTGTTGTTTTTAAGATTATAAGATTATATACATACATACATTTTGCAAAAAAACTTAATTATATATCTTTACAATAAAATGTTTTTTTAAATGTTCAAATATTCCATTGATACATTATATTTAAATTCTTCTGAAATACATTCATTAATTCTTATATTGCTCTAGAATTCAAATATCATTATTAATATAATCATACATTAATTGAGAAACAAAGATTTTACATGGTACAATCACCGTATTATTTTTTATTATTCCAGCCTTTCTCTAATATTTTTAGCGTCTATGTCGATTTTTTATACTTATGTTAGATCAAATAATTATAAGTACCGATAATTGATTTTGAAAATATATATATATATACATGTTTGCAGCGTATGGATAATTTATATTTCGTAACAATTAAATTGTAAATTCACAAAAATAAAGGAATCGTTATAATTAATTATAATTAATCATTAAATTTTTGTTAAACTAATAATAATTTTAAACTAATAGCAACAATTAACAAAATAAACTAAATTACATTAAATAAATACAAAAACAACACAATGTACCATCGCAGAATTAATGATTATTACAAAATAAATATATGTATATTATATCCATATTATATCCAATATGTTTTATTTTTGAAATATTAATATAAATAATTCCAATCAAGTAATTTATTTATATCATTTTATTTAATTTTATTTTTTGAGAAATAATATTGTTTTATATTTATTATTAATCTTCTGAAAATTTATTTAAAAAGAAGATTTTTTATAATCAAATTTTAATAAAATATTTATTTTAAAATTAGGATTGCTTAAAAATTATATGTACGTTTTTTTTTTTTTGGCGTTATTTTTTTAATTATAGTATAGTATAGTAAAGTAGTATTATAGTATAGTAAACTATATTATATAAATTATATAAATTATATAAATTATAATATATTATATAATATTATTTAATTATAAT